CATATTTTCAACCAAGTTATTAATAGCGGAGCTCCGGCGGCCCGAAGGGCCGCCAAGCGGAGCCCCATACTCATATGAGAAGGAAAAGGAAACCCATGAATTGACTTTCTCATGATTTTCATGGCCAGCGGTATTGCTCGAGGACGCGTACGTACGACGACGACGACGACGGCAGCGGAGTTGCCCAACATGGCGGGCATACTCTAGCTAATAGGTTGACAGAGACATGCACCCTCGGTTTGTAGCGGAAGAATGCCATTTTTTTTGGCGGGATGTTTAAAGAAAGGAAAACTCATTTCTATTTGTTATGTCGACAAACGATAGCGGAGGTTGATTTTATGTTTTTGAGATAGGGTTGCACTGAAGCAAAAAAAAATAAAAAAAACAAGAAGCAAAAAACAAAAGAAAGCAAGCAAGAATTAACCGGTAAAGAAGTAGCGAAGAAGATCGCGAAAAAGAGCGGGCCAGCGCTGGGTAAGGAGGCGAAACATCACTGAACAATGCCGTGAATTATAGCGAGTCAAGGGCTAGAGAAAGGAGGTGAAATAATACCGAACAATGCCGTTAACCAAAGCTAACGAGAACCATAGAAAGGAGGCGAAAGTACCCGACAAAATAGGGACTTTCAGGTACCTGGACGGTTGACCTCGAGGACGGTAATATTAGGCGCGGAGGACTGGGCCGAAACCGACGTTCTTGGCGGGAAACTCTCCACGTTAAGGAGCGGGTTGTTTGAACGGAGGACGGCAGCGAACCTGAAGTTTTTAGCACTGTTCGTAAATCATGGCATCTTTTAAAAATACTCGCGAAATGATTGTTATTACTTACGCACAAAAGCTACTGACCGACGAGGAGTTCCTGTTTCTGCGCATGCACGAAGCTAATAAGCCTGTTAATTTAGAGCTGCCTTACTACGAGTACGAAGAATTTAACTTAGAAGAAAACATTAGCGAGGCCGAATGCAAAGCCGAGTTTCGATTTGAAAGGGGAGATATCGAGCGTCTCGCGGATGTGCCTCAATTGCCACCCACATTTGCGTGCCCACAAGGAAGTGTTTGCGACCGAATAGAGGGACTTTGTATCCTTCTTCGCCGGCTTGCCTATCCATGTCGTTACAGCGACATGGTTAGCAGGTTTGCAAGACCAGTTCCTGTTTTGTGTATGATATCGAACATTGGGCTTAACTATATCTACGATCTGCATCATCGGAGAATCACAGCCTGGAATCAGGCTATTCTCAATCCACTTGCTCTTCAATAATATGCTGATGCTGTGTCTGACAAAGGCGCTGCCCTCAACAACTGTTTTGGGTTTGTAGATGGAACGG